GTGGAAATGCCAGGTGGAGCCGTACGGAGGAAGAGGAAGAGGAGAAAGAGGCAGGTGAAGCTTCACGTTAGCTCCAGGATCACTGTTAGGGTAAGCGTCAAAACCAGTCTGAAGCCGCAGTGGCCGGTAAGTGAACCTAGGCAGGAGGAGAAAAGGGATGGGGAGTTTAGGGAGCCATGTTTTGCTGCTTGGGTTCAAATCAGGATGGGGTCACCACCTTTTTTGGGGGGGCATCCATCCCTCTCCTAAACTTGCTATGGAGCTTGTGTGGGGCAGGCAGCAGGTCAGGGATGCTGCAGGGAGCATCCACGGGGCCCCTTTTGGTGCGAGGACATCCCTGCTGCCAAGGGCAAGGGTTTGGGGCGAGGCACGGAGGGATGCTCCAGGGCTTGGGGTAATGCAAGGAGGGATGCTCTCTGCATGGTCCTTCCCTCCCTGGGGGGGTTTGGATCAAAAACCACCACCACTCACCGTTGGAGTCCTCTGTTCCTCTTGGAATATTTGGGTTTTCTAATTGGAAAGAAATAGCAAAGAGACAGTTTTATTGGGGGGGAGATGAGTGAGGGTTTGTGGAGGGAAGGGTGACCCCCGCGGTGCTGCCATACCGAAAACGATGAGCCGGGTATGGGTGTCGGTGGAGCCCAGGGGGTTCTGGGCAGTGCAGCGGTACATGGAGCCGTTGAGCTCGGCCGGCACCCGCTCCAGCACCAGCTCCTTGCCGTCGTGTTCGGTGCTGCCGTCGAGGAGCCGGCTCCCCACGCGGGTCCAAGTGAAGAGGGGCTCGGGGAAGACTTCATTCTGTGGGGAGATGGGGGGCTGTGAGATGGGTGTAGGGGGTGAGTAAGCTCTGCCTCACGCCTGGAGCAAGGACAGGGTACAGCTGAAATGCCCAGGGGTGCATAGGGACCATGATGCAACCCAAGGCCACCAAGCCAACCCCATAAAGTGCTGGTGTGGATGCAAGGTTGACCGTTGGCACGGCATCGCCCCACGGTGATGGGGATGACTGGAGATGCTGACCTGGAAGCCCTGCACCAAGATCCGCACGGTGTCTCCGACGCGGGCTCTTGTCGGGGTCATCGTGATCTTCGGGCCCTTGGGAGCAACTGCAAGGGAAGGGGATAAGAATCAGCCGAGCGAGGGGTTCCAGGTGCTGGCGAGTGCCCTTGGCCGGGGTTAATGATGGTTTGATGAACGATCGTGGCGAGGGGGCGGCACAGTGTGTGCCAGCCGATGGGGCTGACGGCTGGGTGATTGATGGACAGGCGGACGGATGTCCAAATGACTGATAGACAGGTAGGCAAAGACCCCACAGGCAGATGAATGGGAAGACTGCAAGATTGATAGCTGACTGTAATGGGATGCACTGACGGCCAAGGATATATTTCCTAACCGAGCTGCCCCTGCTCAGGAACGGGGCGTCAAGGCGGGGGTCAGGTTAGTTTGATGCCTTAGAAATAGGCACCTCAGGAAAGTGTCCCCAGGACAAGGTGGCCTCAATGAGTCATGCACAAATGCTGTTAGCATGGGAGACAGCCACAAAGCCTTGCTGGCACAAAATGCCAAGGACAGCCCTGTAAAGAGGAGGGAACCCCTTTTCCCACACCAGACTTGAGGTGCCCTTGCCCTTACGTTGCGGGGAGAAGCAGTGATGCAGCCAGCCATGGTGGGGTGACACCACGCTGGGTCTGCTCCTTGCTCCCAGCTGGGTCAGGGTTGCGTGGATGTCCCTCCTGGGCCATGGGCGGGATGGGACAGCCCCAGGAGCTGTCTGGGCTTTGCATGGAAGGAGCCTTTTGCAGGCTTGAAGGGGAAAATGGCAGGAGGGAGGTTGTGCTTTGCCAAAAGTGGGTGTCTCATACTTTGTATATTCAAGTGCCGCCGTGGATGGGACAGGCTGAGCCTTGACAACACCCCGGCACAACACAAAGGGACAAACAGCCACCAGAAGGCACATCGGTCCGCGGTGGTGGACACTGGCCCTCAGAAGGGGCATCCACGCCCCAGGATGCTCTGCATGGACGTGCGCCAGAAATCATGGTTGTGCACCTGGACTGCAATATCCATGCACAATCCGGCCCTCCGGTATTAAAGCAGGGGTGATGGGCTGCAGATGATTACACCATGCTATGGTCTGTACCAAAAGACAGCTTTCTGTACCGAAGCAAGTGGTTTGTCTTGGTTTCAATGAGGCTTTTATTGAGAGTATATATAGTGTATATATACTATTTACATATAGGGAGGGGGTTAATGAGGGATCTGCTGTGACGGTGCCAAAAACCTGGGTGTAAATAGTGGTGGTGGGGCGCTCAGTGAGATGCATAGGCTGGAGGCATCTTAGGGGATGAAGAGTGCTGTGGATTTGGGGGGGCAATGTGGGGTGGGCTTTGCCATTACAGGTATTGGAGCTACTGGGGATGAGGCAACCCATCAAAATCTCGGCCTCATGGGGAGCCCCAGAGAGTGGACACCTAAGCTGCAGAATGTGTGAAAATGCAGGACTTAGGTTATTTTTTGGCCAGTTGTATGCTGGGAGAGAGCTTTAATGCTCGGTGGGGATGAACAGATAATGGAGGGACATATATTAGCAAGACAGGTGCTGCCAAACTCCCTTTGACCTCCTCATTGCCACCAACCTCCCACTAATTGAGGTGGTTGATGAGCTGAAGGAAAAGAGACGGAGCACCAGCATTGAGAGGCTTGTGCACACTGAAGCCCGCGCCAAAGATGGGTGGAAAGCCAATGAGACGAAACTCTCCAGGAGACGATGCATCATTGCCAATGCAGCGAGCCAAGTGCCCTACTTGGCCAGGAGCAAAGCCCAGTCTTCTCCACCCAGCTCAAGGGGAGGAAGGCTGGAGCAGCCTCCCCAGGAG